CAGATTACACATATAAGTGAGATCATGTGATATTTGTCTTTCTGTGTCTGGCCTATTTCACTTAACATAATGTCCTCCAGGTTCATCCACTTTGCTACAAATGGCAGGATTTCCCCCCTTTTAATAGTCTTCCATTGTGTAAATGCACCACATTTTCATTATCTGTTCATATGACGATGGATACCTAGGTTAATTCCGTGTCTTAGCCATTGTGAATGGTGCCGCAATGAACATGGGATTTCAGCTATCACTTTGGCATACTAATTACAATTCTTTTTGGAGATATACCCAGAAGTGGGATTACCAGATAGTATGGTAATTCTATTTTTAGTTTTCTGAGGAAACTTTATATTGTTTTCCATAATGGCTATATTGATTTACATTCCCACCAACAGTGCTATGGGTTCCCTTTTCTCCACACCCTTGCCAACACTTGTTATCTTTTTGATAATAACCTTTCTAACAGGTTATTTACAGGTTTCTACCTCTAACAGGTATGAGGTGGTATCTCATTGTGGTTTTGTTGTGCAAAATCTATTTCTAAGACAAGTCCCTATATCCTGCCTCTTCAGCCCTGCCCCATTAAAAATCATAAAAACTTACATAAGTTTTCTTTTTTAAGGTTTTCTTTCAATGCATCGTTGACAGTTGCAATGAAGCCCAACAGAATTGGTTTTCTATAACAAAGATGCACCTCCTGTTTAGACTAGTCTTTGTTTTCCTTAATGGGTTTTGTAGAATTGTTTTTAATGAAGGGCTCTGAGTTGGACTGTCACTTCCTTTTTGTCTTGTTCACAAGGAGTCTTGGAACATGGCCCATGCAATAGAAAGAACTTCGATTTCAGAGCTCAGGATGTTTTTTCTTATTTTTTCTCAGTGACAAATGCATACAGACATTCACAACTCCACCCAGCATGCTTAGCATTCACCTGTAGTTCAACAGAACCAGTCAGCCAGTGTTCCAAGTGAAGGGCATTTAACAAATCTAGACAAAGGAGACTGTGTATAGCATTCATTCTTAGTGAATTTTCATGTTCATCTTCTCAGAAGAATGTCTTCTTGTGCTTTTGAATAAAAAACGACTTGGGAGAACATCAAAATTAAAGAGAAATATTCAGATTACAGAAAAAAGCATTACTGGCAAGTCTCATTTTTTAGGACAGCTATATAACCTTTAATTCACATGAACACCCACATATCTTTTAAAACCTGCTTTCTCGCCATTCTGACAGAATTTTATCTCTTCACTGTTAAGATTTCTCTAGAGAGTACAGTACTGCATCATTTTGACAAACCTGAAATGCGAAGAGATGAATGCCCCTCATCTCTGAAACACTTCAGGGTAAGTTGCTCTAACCAGTTTCCTGTTTTCAGAGGCTATTTTTCTGTCATCCCTTCAGATCTATCAAAGTTCATTTAATTCTTTTAAAAGCCATATTTTATAAAAAGTGAAGTTCTCCTCACGGTAGTACTTATTGCTCTGAGATCTGGAGTCATGCTGGCTGCTATTATTATCTGCGAGGGCCGCAGGCTCATACGTAGCAAGAAGACCTGGACTTAGAAATGAACCACAGCCTTCCAAGACCCAGGCTGAGTATTATTGCTCACCTGCTTTCTTCTTTTTCTCTTGGAAGCCCCTTTCTTGAGGTGCCCTGATTTCTGCCAGGGCAGGAAAGAATGTCTTTATGTGATAGTCAGCATTCAAAATATTTTGCTGAGGGGAAATGGATATGGAGAAAAATCCAGGATATTCATTGAAAACCAATTCTTTTTATCAGCTGAAAACTCCCTTATGCAGTTTGAGAATACCTTGTTTATTACTAGTGTAGAAAATGTATCATTCTCCCAAAATTTGATGATCTAAAGTAGAAAAATGGTAACGTAAATACAGTATGCTCATAAACTAGATTAGAGGTTAATATAACTGCCTGCAGGCTAAAAAAAAATGGCCCATAACCTGTTTTTATTCTGTGACCTAAAAATGGTTTCTACAATTTTAAATTGTTGAAAAAAAACAAAAGATTAATGATATTACTATAACACTTGAAAATCATAAGAAATTCAAATTTTGGTGTCCATGGTAAAAGTTATTGAAATAGTTATAACCCATTGTTTATCTATTGTCTGTGACTGCTTTCATGCCACAACACAGTTGAGCAGTTGCGTAGGTGAATAGTTGCAATGGAGATCATCTAGCCCTCGAAGCCTGAAATGTTTACTCTCTGCCCTTTATAAAGTTTGCTGACCGCTGGACAAGATTATTGCATCACAATTAAAGTGGTACCATTTAAAATATTTAATTGTAAGAGAAATGCTTACAATATTTAGTGAAATATTTATGACAAACTGTGTATACAAGAAGATCCCAAATAGTTCTTTTCTTTGTATAATTTTTGCCTCTTTCCCCTCATAGAAATGTAAGCTCCGTAAAAGCAAAAAAAATTGACATTCATTTATATATTTAGTTTTAGGTTTTGGAACAGTGCTTAGCATGTAGTAGATGCTCAAGGAACAATCAAGGTCAGTTAAGACTGATGAAGTATATGATTGTATAATGCATATATATGATAATAGTCATATAGAAACCTTTCTGGGGCATGTGTGTATGTTCAGCAGCAAGTTGAGAATTTTAAATGCATGATCTCATTTAATCCTAACAAAGACTGGGCAGCTACATTATTGCCCTCATATTACAGAAGAGGAAAGGAAGGTTTAGAGCTAAGTTACATAGCTTGTCTAGCATTACAAAGCTAAGAAGTAACATGGTCAGAATTCAAAAGGTCCGTTGGGTTTCAGAGTCTTAGCTCTAACCATAAGCTATATTCTTTTTTTTTTTTTAATTTCTAAAAGCAATTTACATATTCAGGTGAGAAAGAAAGGGATAGGAAAATACTGGAGGTAAATATACAAATAACAGAACGAATTACTGGGATATGAGATTATAGATGATTTTTGTTTTCTTGGCTATATATTTTTGTTTTTCCACATTTCATAAAATGGGTGGATTTACTTTTAATTATTTTTCCAATAAGAAACAAATGTTTCTAAAGGGGTGGGGGTGGGGGAAACAGCCCAGCAGGTTTAAATTGTTTATGTAGATCACTTCCTTGTTCCTCTGCAGGCCTTGAATTGCTGGGGAAACTGCCATCCGTCTGTCCATCTGTGTATTGATTTGTGTTGTTAAAGTTCAGTATTAAATTTCAAGTCTCTGTAAAATACTTCCCAGCCCTGAGCATGCAAGTGCTATTTGTGTATGTAAAACTTTGGTCCAAAGACACTGATAGATAGAGCTTCTTGGTGTTTATGTTTAGATGTCTCAAATACACATGTTTTTGAAAGCTGTGTTGTATTTTCTGTTCGTCTTCAATTACAATGATCCAGCCCTGTCTACCACGCATGATGGATTGCTTTTACCTGAATTTTATTATTTTTTTAAATTGACATAGGATTTGGCATATACACACTTAAAATGATCTCATATCTAAGAAGATAATTAGGTCCCAGCAGCCCCAAATCATTTAGTAAAATAAAAAGAAATGAGAGAGATAATGTTACAAATGAAGTTCTTTAGTTATGGCTCATGTTTCTTTTTCTGTTTTTTTCTTAATTGCGTGGCTTATTTCCACAATCCAAAGGACTTTTTATATGCCCTGGCCTAAATTGCAAGGCTAAAGGGAGAAAGGTTTTTCTTTTGAACAAAATTGGAATGCAAGTGATTAGAATGATTAAGTGACTGTTATTAAAATTATTGAGGTTAGTATAACACCAGATTCAAGAGTGTTAGAGAAGAGGATGGTTTCCTGTATCAAAGGCTGGAGATAAGAATTCTACAACAAGGCAAGCAAGCAAGGTGCCAAAATAAAAAGTTTCCTGTGAACAATGAATAAAGTTATAGATTGAGAACATCTGAGGCTATTTAAAAGGGGTTTTAAAAATTCCTGTGACATGTCTAAACATTCCAGCCATAATTTCAGAGGCCTGTGTTGTTCAGGCCTGTTAAGAATGAGTTAAGGGGGCTTTTTCAGATCTTTGTAATTTAGTCATTTTTTTTCAAGAGCATCATTCTGATTTTTGGGTTATAAGCAAAGTTTCTCATCACCATCTCTTTGTGACTTTATTTGGCAGAAATGGGGGTTTGGGAGTGATGCTATTGGTTTTAAACTTGAAGTGTTGTTTAATGCGCACCCTGATCATGGTCTTCCTTGTTTATGATGACTTCACTGGGACTCATCGTTCTCAACACAGTTTAGCAATGAAAGAAATTGCCTTTCTAAACTGTCAAGAGTGAGACAAAAACAATTTGAATGACAGCTTTTTCAAAAAATCATCTATGCAACATGCAGTTGAAGAACTGACATTTGCTTAAGTACACTTTGTAAGGTTATGTGTGAATAAATGATCCATTATCAAGAGCACTCTTGTGCTTGTACGGTTTCTATTAGAAAAGGAAAAAAAAAACCCTCTTGCTTCTTTTTTCCTTCTTTGGAGATTATAGTGATTGGTGTGAACCATACAATTTCACTTTCAAATTTGCGACTTCTAAAAATTCTTTTTCTTCCTGACATCATAATGTGGCCTCAGAAAATCAGACAGTTGTTATTACAAATAGAGAGCAGCTCCACTCAGACATTGAATAGACAATTATAAATGTCTGGATTCTTTCCCTTTTTGTGGTGGCTGCTTTTAGATGTGGAATAAAACCGCATTAACCAGAGGACGTTGTTATTGGTGGTTAGTAGCCTATTCTCGCCACATCTATAAAGTATCTTGTTTAAAAAACTTTTTTCATTGTCTAACAATAACTTTCTGCTTTATAAGACTTTTAACAGGAAGCATTGAGGTATGAAAGTATTAAAACTTCAGAAGACAAAGGGGCCATAAAATATCATCCAATCAAACTCTGGTGAGAGAGTCAGGCTGTGAAAGAGTGAATAACCTGCCCAAGGCACACACCTAGTCAACAGCGTGCTGAAAGAGTGTTTGTTTTTCTGATTCTGTAGATGGCCGCCCATGTCCCATCATCCTCTGGGATGCATCTTTATCTCCAGCAAGTAATGACACCCATTCTTCTGTTAAGCTTACCTGGGGAACTTATCAGCAGTTGCTGAAACAGAAGTGCTGGCAAAATGGCCGAGTACCCAAACCTGAGTGGGGTTGTACTGAAATACATCACCACGAGTGGTCCAAGATGGCACTCTTTGATTTTTTGTTACAGGTAAGTTCATCACATCAAGTAAATGGTTATCTAAGACTGACACTGAGTTCTATTAGCCTGACACTAAGGAATTTTCAGCGCCTGGAGTTTTTCTGAAGCCCTAGTTTAAGTTCTATAATGCTGTATTTGGTTAAATGTAGTATCCACATTAAAACATTTTATCTTGAACTCCTGGCCTCAAGCAATCCTCCTGCCTCACCCTCTCAAAGTTCTGAGATTAGAGGCAGGAGCCACTGTGCCCTTCTTACATTTTATGTTCTTTTGGGAAATAATAATAAATGTCTTTCAGCATTTTTATTAGTTCCTAAAGAAGTAATTTGCTGGTCATCCTACAATAGTCATACTGATCAGAGCTACAATTTATTGAGCTATAGGGGATCATCTTAATCCATTCAGGAGGAGAGAAACTGAGGCTTGGCGAGGTTAAGTATCTACAGCTGAAACCTAGACCTGGGACACCCTGGCATCCGTTGATGGTAAAAGTTCGTCTTTTTATCATTCCGCACTGTGTTTTGCCTTGGCCATATAGCTTATAGACACCATTTCCCTTATTTTCTTTCCAATAATTTATTGCAAATTTTTTTCATTAAGATTCAACATTAGATGAAATTGATATTGACCATTTACATAATTGATCCCTGATTTTATAAGTTTTTTATAATTCTTTTCTCTTTTTAATGAAGATCTCATGTCTCTCTCTGCTCCCTCATTCTAATTACTGCCTTTCTCTTCCCCCATTTTAGAAAAACTAGTTTTCTATTGTTGTATTGTTAACTAGTATCTTGGGGAAATTTAGGACTGCCTTAGGACATTTGCAAAACATTTTCCTTTGGTTAGTTCCTTTTTTTGTGTGTGTGACTAGGAGGAAGAAACTGGAGAGGGACAAAAATATAGGAAGAAAACCAGTTTAGTACAGAGTCACATTCTAGGGAACAGGAACTTTGATGAAGGAGGAAGGATCTCTGGTGTCAGTGGCGCAGAACCACCAGGGAGGACTGGGCTGAGAGTGAGCTATTTATTAATAGTTTGGCCAGGAGGCAGTCCACAGTCACCAAATACTGCCTCCTTAAAGAGTGTCAAAGAATCTAGCTATGAGGCTCAAGCTGACTTTAAGTATTGTATATGCATTATCTCATTCCATTTAACTAACATACTGTCTCTGTGAGGTAGGCATCCTTCATTTTACAGTAGGAAAACCAAGGCATAGGGAGGTTATTATCAAGAATTATGAAGAGTCTGAGATTTTACTTTACTTGGAAGCTAACAAGTCCGTCTGCCACAGACTGATAGGTGATAGCAGAAGACACAAGACTCCCAGGTCAGAGACAAATGACTTCGGTACTCAAGATTAGCAGGCAGCATGAGCTTTATGGATCCTTGCCCTTCAAGTTCCATTGGGGTGATACAGAGTGGCCCTAGTGAATGCTTCAGATAGTGTGTTTGTGTCATTGCTGAGTAACCCTACGCTTAGGATACCCCCAATCTTATAAGAGGCTGCTAGAAAACCTGCCTGACATTTGCCTTGGAAGAATATATTATCTTTATTGTCTTTGTCAGGAGATAAATCTATCTTCCATCTCAGAGGGAGACACTCTCTGTATTGTCCAAAGCTGTTTTCTATACTAATGTCCTTAAAAATAAGTGCAGAACAAAACCTAATAATATAAGATGTGCAGACATTCCATGAAGAATTGTCTCTTGACAATTATCTAATTTGTTCAGTGTTACACAGTAACACTAATAAGTTCCTAAATAGAAATACCTACAAATCTGGCTAACTGTGGATTCCATATTCTTAGCCATTGTTGTATAACAACTTCCAAATTATCCTTGGGTTAATGAAACAAGTAGGTATGATAAAATTTAATAGTCATAAAGTGGAGAATGAATGAAGAAGGTACCTAGGGTTAAGTAGGTGAAGGTACTCACCGTGAGATCAGGTGTTTGTGAAATGGTTGGCATACATGCTGGAGTCCCTGAGAACGATGACTAGAGGGATGATGGAAAGGAAATCTATGAATCTGGTAGTGAAATCTATGAGAAAGGAATGACCTTGAGGCTTGAAGCTGATGGACGTTAAGAGCTAGCCTATAATGAATAGAGGGCAAACTCTTAAGTTCTCTAATGACATACATATGTTTTAATTCTGGAACTCTCAGCTAAATCCCTTCCTACCCTACTGTCTTCATCATTCTCCTTTCTACTGAGGGAAGCTCCAACTGTCACTCAACAAAGATATATTTATGCAGCAACTGCTGTGTAATATACTGCAGAAAACAACCACAAGGGTAGCAAAGTAGCGTAAGATGATTATCCCTACCGCCCTACTTCTAGTCGTTTGTTTCTTTTTTTACCTACTTAGTTGGGAAAGTAGAGTGTATGAAACAAAAGATAGATCCATGTAAGAATGGGTGGCTGAAATAATATTAACACAAGTTCTAATTATTGTGAAGTCAAAAGAGGGAGAGCACCTTGCCATAAAGTAGCTTGTGAAGGAGGAAGAGTTTGAGTAGAATTGCAGGCTGCCAATGATAGGGTGGCTAAGAGTATGAGGAAGAATAAGGGGTTGGTGATGTTGCTATGACCTTGAGCGCATCCTAAATACACCATTTGAAGCAGAGTTCGTTTAGGGGAGTAGTGATGCTTCCTGACTCTGAGAGGTATCATGGAATATAGAGGAAGAGAGCTGTTTCCCCAAGGATATGTTTTTTATTTTGTAACTTTCTACTGTTCCTTACCCTGGCTGAGCAGCAAAAAAATTCCAGCTGAGCCGCATTCTCCTTCTGAGCAGCTTTCATCATTATTGTGCACTTTGTCTGTGGTCTTGAGGACACATCTGGGCACGTGAAATCACTATTAGGAGTTTTTGACAAAGGTAAATATTTCAAATCTTTAAAACAATAATATTAACAATCTACCATTCATAGAACACTTGCCTGTGCCAGGCACTATTTAAGCACTTTGATATTAAGCACTAAGATATCAGCTTATTTAATATTCCTAGCAACTCTTAGAAGTCAGTACTATTATTATTCCTATTTTAGAGATGAGGAAACCAGGGCATAGAGAAATTAAGTAACTCGGCCAGGGTCACACAGCTCATTTGCAATAAAGACTGGAGTCAAACTCAGGAGTTCTAGCTCATATAAGAGTCAAACTTCTAAGCAATGTTGTCTCCTATCCTTTATATGGGGGAATGGGAATCCAATTTTCTAAGTCAAAACGTGGAAGTAATCTAGGTGCTTCTGTGATATTTATTCCACATCCATACTGAGACCAAATCCTTGATTTCTCTTACTTCCATCTTTTAGATATAGTTTGTTGCTCCTGTGTTCATTCAGGCTTTGTCATTTCTCACCTGGATGACTCCCTCGAGTCCACTCAAACTATATAAGCCAAGATCACTTTTGGCTTGGGATAGTGAGCAGCAGACTACCTATACTTCTGCAGGGACTGGTTCTATTGGTAGGGCAGTTTTTGTGGTCTACTCTGCTACTTCCTCTGCCTGGAGTGGGAGGGTCTTCCTCCTTCTCGATAGTTCAGAAGGCTGAGATGTCTGCAAGATTTTACGAGGACTTGATTGGAGCTCCTGATTTTGACTCTGGCTAAAAGAGAAATCTAAAAGTGAGAAGTTAATCTGATTGTTAGAAGGCAATTTGATTAGTATTTACAAAAGTATATCGAATGATATATACAAGGATTTTTTTTTAAAGTCAGAATATATGCCTCGTTTAAATGGTGTTAAGGAATGTATTGGATTAATTTTGTGAACAATCTTAGAGAAGTTATGCCTGAAGCAACCTAAAACCACTTGCTCTAAGATGCCAGAGCAAGGGCGAGGGAATACAGAACCCAGTTGTTAATTTTCTATACACAGCATTCTTTTTGTTTCACCCAGTTAACAAATCTACATTCACAAAGGCTATGCCATTTTATAAGGTCTGTAAAATGTGATAGAGATACAAGTGATCTTTTATCCTTGAAGCGTGGGGGCTTAAACTGCCTAGACAGAAATTCACCTCCATTAGGACGACAAAGAGAAGTATTCTAAAGAGTGCTTGAGTTTCTAAGATTTGGTCAAATTTCTCTCAAAAGATTATACAAAATAAATATAAAATAATAGGAGCAAATTTAGGGTATAGAAAACTTGCTTTTTGACCCAAGAGACATTATAGTGTAATAGTAGGAGCTGAGACTTCGGAGGCAGCCTGATAAATTTGAATCCCACCTCTGCTGCTAGTAATTTTTTAACCTTGAGAAGTTGCTTAAACCTCTCTCTGCCTTGGTTTCATCATCTGTAAAACAGGAATAATAATGGTGCATAGATAGAGAGCTATTGAGAAGATTAAATATTTTCATATTAAAAAAGCATTTAGAATAATGCCTGATATATAGTAGGTGCTCAATAAGTATTATTAATTAAACAATTGATCATTCAGAAATAAGAGTAGAGGTAAATAAGAAAGAATTAAATAAACTATTTTACAATTATTTTTATTTATTAAATCATAGGTAATTATCAAATACTTTCTCTTTTTATACTCTTATAGACTTTCATACTTACATTATAGGTCTTAGCCTATTAAGTTCTAATTATTTTTGACTAATGTGTCTTCTTCAAGAAACTATAAATTTCACAAGGGCAAGTCCCAGTCTCATTCAACTTTATAACCTTTCTATTAGCAGTAGAGTGTCTGGAAATGTCACAGTTATTCAGGGCATTTTTTTTGATCAAAGAAAACTACCTAGTTACATTAAAATATTGAATCCAAATTGTCAAAATAAAAATGTTAAAAGTGTAATCGCAATACATATATACTTAGTTTTGTTAAAGGAAGAGAATTAGAAGTTTAGAAAATCAAAGAATCAAATGAATAGAAAATATTTAACATTTTACTGTTTGATCAAATCCTTCATGCACTCACATTTTCTAAGAATAACTGTTTATTCAATGAGAAATTAATGGGTGTTTGCATAAAGGGGACCAACAAAGATGTGTC